TGCTGGGAATGGCCACATTGTTAGAGCCACAGAAGCGGATCCCACAGGTTCTGAGACGCTAGGAGCAGCTCCGGTCCTGCCGCCCAGGGGCTGTCCCCAGCGACAAGGCCCTCCTGTGGCCCCCCTAGCTGGCACCTGCGCTGGCACCTGCACTGACATCCATTGAGAGTCTCAGCGGGGAGGGGTCATCTCACTCCCACAGGGTCATCTCTCTCTTCCTCAGCGCACCCTCCCTCCAGGCGCCTGCTGTCACCTCACACATCCCTACAAACTCAATTTCTACTTGATGAACACATTTTGTTTTTTTTCACAAGGTCTTTGCTCTGTTGCCCAGGCTGGAGTGCAATGGTGCAAACATGGCTTGCTGCAGCCTCAGCCTCTTGGGCTCAAATGATCCTCCTGCCTCAGCCTCCTATGTAGCTGGGACCACAGGCATAAGCCACCACACCTGGCTGATTTTTACTTTTTTTCATAGAGAAGGAGTCACACTTTGTTACCCAGGCTGGTCTTGATCACCTGAGCTCAAGTCATCCTCCTGCCTCGGCCTCCTTCCAAAGTGCTGCGATTACAGGAGCCTGGCCCCGGAACCCATCAGGAGGTAAATTCTTCTGAAAGCATGATTTTGGTTATCAGAGCATAGGTGGGGGATCAGCATTCTTTGGAGTTGGAGAAAACATGCAATTTAGGCAATTGCCTCCTTGGAAATATATTTAAAAACAGGGGGCAGGAGGATCTCTTGAGCCCAGGAGTTCAAGACCAGACTGGGCAACACAGTGAGACCCTGCCTCTACAAAAAAAAGAATCGAGGTTAAATATTTTCATTCATTAAGTTGGTCTCAGCCTTGGGTACAGGCAAAAATGTCAAGTCATCTTGCTCCTGGGCATTCCCAAGGGAGGCCTCACTGAACCACCTAGCAGAGGCAGGGCAGCCATCTGGGTCACATTCCTTCACCTGCCCGGCGTGGGCACAGACTCGCACGACACGTCATCGGGGTTGCCCCGGGCAGACTCTTGGCAGGCCTGGCTGGCCCGCAGCAGGCTGGCAGGCATTGCCTCTGATGCTGCCCGCCACCTCCCAGCATCACGGCATGACTCAGGCTCCCTGACGAGCCATCACCAGGGTGGGATTTGAAGAAGCAGCGTATCTGCTGTTCACTCTTAGGGTGAGTGGTGGACGTCCTGGGAGGCCCTACTGTGCAGAGTCACTGATCATGGCAAATGTCAGGGCTGGATTCCTCTCATGTCTTTCCCAGAAAGGACTTGGGACGTCACAGAAGGTCCATGAGTGAACTTCCCCTCTGGGTTTGACAGTCCCTGCCTCCCAGACTTCAGAACACAAAAGACAATTCTTTAGGCAGATCTTTGTGCATGGATGTTGGAAATGGAGGCTCTACTTCCGGCTTTTAACATCTTCTCCTTTTTTGGCGGGGGGAGTTTGTTTGTCTTGACCTTTATGAAAGAAAATGGGAAGAACACGGCCCCTGGGGTCAAACCCTGGCTCAGCCGCTTTCTTGCTCAGTGGCCTTGGAAAGTTACTTAGCTTCTCTGAACTCACTTTCCTTATTTTTAAAACAGAGCAATGCCATCCTTTGTGTGTTGCTGTGAAAATGAAGTGAGTCCATGAAGTCAGGTGCCCAGGCGGTGTCTGATGGCAGGAGGTGCTTAGTACACACAGCCGTGACTTTCTGAATGCCTGCCAGCTGCATAAGCGTGCCTGCTGCATCTGTGGGACACGGGAGAGAGCTAAAGGATGGCAGAGGCTCAGCCGATGGCTCTACCGTTTCCATCAGTTGCTCCTGGGAGGGCCCTCTGGCCTGCAGCCTGGTCTTCACTCTCAAAGACTGCACGCAGCCATCTGGGGTTCATCTGGGAAGTTAATGCAGTTACTCGGTTTGCTGCTTTCCTCCTGGGGAAGGTATCCTGAACAGCATCTCCGTAAGTCATGCAAATGATTACCAGAAGAACTCACGGCCCCTCCTGGAGGGGAAGGCCGTGTCTGGTGCCCGGCAGCGCTCTGGCTTCGGGTGACCTTTGATTGGATTTGCTGGCTCCAGTATTGACCCTGTGAGCAGGACAGGAAGCAGACTCAAAGTACGTCCCAGCCTCCAGGGGGCGGAAATGACTAAGCCAGAGCAATGGAGCCAAGGAGATTGGGTCAAATGTCTCCACAGACTCCGGGGTCTTCAGAAATCTTGCCTCCTAAGGCGGCTGCTGAAGGCATTGGGCCAGGTCTTAAAAGCATTTTGCTAAGATGGAATTCTCAAAATGTTGGCCCCCAAGTGCTGCTGGGGGAAGCCATGTATTACCACTTGCTAGAGGTCCCTGGTAGGGCCTGGGAAGTGACCATCACAGCCCCCCCGGGCCCCCCAAGGTGCTGGTCTCTCAGAATATTGGGGCAAAACTTGATAATTCAAGCAAGACTAATAATATGAACTGCTTCAGGATGAAGGAGAAACTCCACTCAATTAAAGACAACTATAAATTTCTTGGACCCTCTTTTTTTCCCCCTGCTTCTAGAAATTTCAGAATCACATTGAAAACTAAAAGTACCACATTTTTCTAAAAGTATTTTTTAAAACCCAAAAGTATAACAAGGTGTAACTGTCTATAGACACGAGATACATGACACCAGACTATTAATTTCCAAATATCTATTAATTTCCAAAAATGTCACATCATCCCAGAACCTCCTGGGCTTGATAGAGGAAGACGTTCAAAGACTCCCAGCTTTGATGCAGGGATAAGGCACTGCACCCAAGACTGGGTGACTCAGCAGAGATATCCAACAAACAATTCTCATCTCCACCATGAGCATTTTAGAAATGTTTTAAAATGAAAAACAGAGCAGTGGATCTTGACTCTGGCCTCAGACCAAGCTACTATGAAGCACTGTGAAGAAGAATGTAGAAACTCGGCTTCCTCCCTCTTGCCTGGAGGCCTGCCATGCTAGCGAAGGAAGCCCTGGTCCAAGGCTCCCGGTGGGTCTGGTAGGTTGATGGGAAGCGGGCTTGGCTTACACTAAACAGCTGGGAGCTGGGAGCTCAAGGTGAGCACACAGGAGGAACCACAGCCACCCTCCTTCCCCTTTACGAGCAGCTAAAAATAGCAAACAACCGCTACAGAGTGATAGAGACCCATTTGAGGGTTTTGGTGGCGACAGAGCCCTGCCTGGGCAGACCTGCAGTCTCACTCCTTGGGTCAAAGGGAGATGGGGTGGAGAGAGAGATGCTGGGAGCAAGAAATGTCACCCGGTGGGGAGGGAGGGAGAACACTGTGCTCTCGGAGAACCCTGCCCTGTTCTTCCCATCTTCTTTCATAAAGGTCAAGGCAAACAAATTCCCCCCCCCCAAAAAAAGAAAAAACGGAAGTGTGACAAATTCCAACGTACGGGTGGTGATTACTTTACAGCTTGTTACAAGCCTCTAAATAAAGCAAGTGGGATGAGTGAGCACGCATGAGACCTGAAGGAATGAGACTGGTTCCACCGGTCTCTCCTCACTGCCCTCATAGCCACAGGCGGCCTGCACACACATGGCATGGGGACACTGGGCCCTTGGTCTCCTCACCCCAGTTATTCTGGCAAGGGGACCGGCAGGACTCGAATTATCCGACTGCATAGGTCTAGCTACAGGTCAGGAAATAATTAGATTTTCTGCCAAATAAGAAGGGATTTCTTTTGTTTCTGCCTAAAATAACACAGGATAGAAAAAAAGAAGAGCAGTTCCTCCCACCCTTAAGAGGGTGCGGCAGACTGGAGCGCTAGCGTGTAATACATGGGTCACCTGCAGGAAGCTGATAGTCACATTCTTATTTCCACTTTGGCTCGCAAGGGCCCATCCCAAGCTCACCTGGGCAATCCCGTCTCATCTCGCCTCCCTGCCAGCTTCCTAATCTGTTCCCTACAAAGGCTCTCTGTGCAGCTGCTGCTCGAGTCCTTCCTCTTTCCTGAAGAAAATCCAGGTCCGCGGGTTCAGGGCCACAATCCCCTCTGTTGTACCAACCAAAGGGCCTACAGCAGAGCCCTGGCTAGGGAAGAGAAGGCCAAACGCTCAGTCCATCTAATTCCTTTCAAGGTCAAGTCCTTTTAATACAGCTGCAGAAAACACAATTGAATCACGCTGTCATGGTTTAGGCGTGTGTTAGACCCGGAGAATCTCAGGTTAGTGTGTTTCTACGGCACTCCCTAAGGACCGAGTCCACTCTGCAAGAGGAGGGAGCAGGGGTCTCTCACACACACACATACACAAACACACACACCATACCACATGCACCACACTGACACACCACACACACACAACACACACATACACACACACCACACTCACAACACATCCCATCACAGGCATCCCCTGCTCCCTCTCCCACACTGAATGAATGACAGCCACACAGAGGGCAGGGCCTGGACCTGGTGCTGAGCCCCTCCTTGCCTCTGGGCAGAACAGCCCCTAAGGCAGGCCGGCCCCCGGCTCCAGGGGCAGCCACGGATTTCCAGGGACTTTCCGAGGACTGAGCCCGGAGCCTTTCCTGCTGACCAGCAAACGGCAGTCCTCGAAATCACGCTGACTGCGCGCCGTGCACGCGCAGCGTCACACGAGTGCACAGACACGCGCTGGTGCCGGCGCACAGGAGCCAGGCCAGGCCGCCGCACAGCAGCCTCCGGGGTCGGACCGGTGGATCGAGAGAGCGGGCGGCGCGCGCACGTGGCGGGGCCGGGGCCGCGGGGCCTTTAAGGGGGCGGGGCGGGCCACGTTGGGGGCGGGGCGGTGGCGGGAGGGCGGCCCCACAGGCCCTGCCGCGCCCCCTCCCTCCGGCCCCGCCCCTCCCTCCGGCCCCGCCCCTCCCTCC